ATGCCGGACTCAGCCTTGATGAGCACGTGCCCCAATCCTCCTCCCTGCAGCTTGGCTTTCCTCAGGGGAAATGGCCACATGGGCCAGGAAAGCAGCTGTGCAGTCAGGAAAAACAGCCATGCAGCCAAGGGAACAGCTGCCCGCATGCGCCAAAGACCACCCCCAGGCCCAGAGTGGCACCCATGCAGGCCCAATGAGTGGCTCCGGGGGGTGGGGGTGGGGCTGACTGAGTGTCACCCCCTCTTCTGGGCTGTCACCCCCCTTCTGGGGTTTCACCCAGTGCGGGCCGCACCCTCCGTAATCCCCCAATGATGTCACTGAGACAAATGTTGGATGCTCACTCAGCAAATTGAGTGGGTCTCCTTATTACATTTGAAAGCAAGCAAAGTGGCTCCAATTTCCATTTAAAGCAACCCCTACATGCCAGTAGGAAATGATGAGGATTATTTCTCGATTTTTAAAACTGGTTTACCTCTATCCGGTTTAATCTTAATTCAGGTGGCATCCCGATTTTATCAGACTTTTTTTGCCACTGAATTTGATGCCTAAATACAGCCTGGGTCCATTCCCGCTTCCAGATCTGCCCCTCACAGCCATTTTGTTAAGCTGGAAAACTCCCAGATCTGAAAACAGCCTCAAGGAGTGCTCCTGGAAGCAGGGATGCACCCTGGCTGTATTCAGGCAGCAAATTTGGTGGCAAAAAAATCTGATAAAATCAAGATTCCACCCAATTAAGATTAAACTGGATAGAGGTAAACCAGTTTAAAAAGTCAATCGATAATCTCCAAAGTTCAAAGTCCAGCCACCACTGCATTGAATTCTCCTTTTGCACACACACACCCTTCCCTCTCCCTCTCTCCAGCTTCCTTTTCCTAAAGAAATGATGACTTTATGCATCTCTCTTCCCCCTTTCTTTCTTTCCAATTCTTTCTCTCTTTTATTTTCCAGCAAACCCATCACATTCCTGAACCCAAACTGCTCACTCCAAGTGATGAGGTGGCGTCCCTCTCCTGCCCCCCCAATTTGCCCAGACTCATTTTTTTCCATCTTCTCTCTCCTTCTCTCCACACACACACAAAGAAAATATGATGACATTCTTTTCTTTTTGGTCATGCTGCAAAAATTAAAGACACATCTTCAATCTGGAAAGGCTCCAACTTTTTCAAGTTTCCAAAAAAAGCAGTCCTGATGAGAAGAGAAGGAGGAGATTGGGAAGTTTCTCCTGCAACGTGTCTGGGATGCAGCAATACAGCCTTGAAAACTGGCCAGATATTTGGAGTCTGTAGTGTTGCTGGGGGGGGGGGGAAGAATTTGAGTTGCTTTGGTGGAGTTCTCTTGCATTTCATTGCAGCCTATTAAAACACACATACCATCACACACACACACAAAGAGTGTGTGAAAACCCATGCCTCTTCCTTCTGACGTGTCGCTTTGACTTGAGAAGACACCTAGATTTTGAAGACATCAAAATAAAAATGCAGGAATGGGAAATCTGTTCAAAGGGCAAGGAGAGATTTGGGGAAATGGCCCTGCTTGTGAACCCTGTGTGGATGGAACAAAAAAAGGAGACACTTTGAGTTGTTTCTGCTGTGTGCCATCAACTCATTATGGTGACCCTAAGGTGATCCTATTATGGGGTACTCTTGGCATGATTTGTTTAGCGAGGTTTGCCTTTGCCTTCCTCTGAGGCTGAGAGGACGTGCCCATGAGTTTCCATGGCTCAGTGGGGATTTAAACCCTGATCTCCGGAATCATAGTCCAGTGCTCAAAACACTACACCACACTGGTTCTCTAGATTTCAGATCTTTTTTAATTATGATCAGGCCAGACTCAAGAGAGTTAGCAAGGTGGACATGGGCCAAGACCACCAAAAACAGCAGAGGATCCAGAGCTCTAACAATTGACGATCATTTCCATTTTACATAGAGTCCCACTTTCTCTTATTCTAGTTTAATACTGCAGCCCAGGGATGTTTGTGGATTTCAGTGCTCACAATACCTAACCACTTACCATGCTGGCTGGGACTGATGGGAGTTGGGGTCCAGCAAATTCTGGGAGACCATTCATTTTCCCAATTCCTGCTCTAAATAAGTATCTCACTATCCCCTTCAAGAATTTACAAACACCAGGGGCCCATTCACACTGCAGAATTATAATGCTGTTAATCCACTTTTACTGCCATGGTTCCATCTTATGTTTAAGGAGCAATATTTAGAATTCTCAACCAGAGAGCTTCATTGCCTTATCAAAGTACAAACACCAGGATTTCATAAGACGGAAACATGGCAGTAAAAGTGGAACAATAGTGCTTTGATTGTGTAATATGAATGGGCCCCAGGTTAGCCCAGCTTCTGCTACCAGAATAATGTCTACCATATGTAACACAGACATATGTAGAAATTATTCAGGCTGATTCTGAACTTTGTAAAATTTATGTTTTTGCAGGGAAACTGAAAGCAAGTACATACCGAATTGTCTCTCTCTGTGTGGGCATTCACTCTTTTAGAACCCTTTCTGAAATAATTATAGGAATAATACATTCCTTATTTCACAACTTTTCCTAATAGCACATTCTTATTCATGGTGACCTAGAAGTCAGTCCTATTGAGTTCAGTGGGACTTGTTCTCTTGTGATTGCTTATGATTGCAGCCTTTGTTTGGTTATTTGGACTTGAAGGTTGGCCTTCAAGTCATTTCTGACATATGGAGACCCTAAGTGAACTTATCATAGTTTTCTTGACAAGATCTGTTCAGCGGAGGTTTGTCATTGCATTCCTCTGAGGCTGAGAGAGCATGATTTGCCCAAGGTTAACCAATGGGTTACATGGCCGAGTGGGAAATCAAACCCTGGTCTCTAGAGTCATAGTCCAACACTCAACCCCACTACACCTGGCCCTGGAATTCATATATTTTTAATTATTATATATCCATGGGATGGATTTGCAGGTAGTATCCTGTTCAGTCCCTACAATCACCAACTATCATCCATATATCTTAGATTAAATCTTGCTTTGGCAAGCTGTTGTGAGGCTTTAAACAGGTGCTTGCTCTCGCTGGTTTTAAACTGAAAGGCTTTGTAGCATTTGCCACTCTTAAGGATTTGAAATTGTATTTTACTCTGACTGGTGATAATACTGTGTTTTTACAATTTAATACTGAAGTTTACTTATTTTTATATCGGTCATCTTGGGTTGAGAGATACATTTAAATAAATACATGCAACCAGAGAATCTCTGTATAAAACACCTTAGGCTCCTTACAGGAAGCGAAGACTACAGCTGTGACACATCCGATCAAGTTAAAATGACAATGCACATCAAAGTGGGAAATGTTGCAATGGTAATCCCTGTAACAAATCTCTAGCATGGGCCACATACCACCCATTGGTGTAGCAGTAGAGATACCAGTGGTGGTCATCCTCACCAGGTTTGGAACACGAATTTGTCCAAGCATTTCAGATTAAAACAGGGACACATGTGGCTAAGCAACATCAAAGTGTGGCCAAGATGACAACTGTTATTAATGAAGAAGAACACACAAGATGCTACAGCAGTTTACTTTGGCCTGAGTCTACTATGAAGGACAAGACTCCTTCCTCTCCCACACTGAGTAAATTGAGTGTAAAATATATTTGCAATTTGAAGTCAGTTTGCAGCAACTGAAGTAAACTGAGGCTGAAGGAGCAATAAGGGAAGGGAGAAAGAGAAACTGGGACATTCTAAAAATAGATGTCGCTGGTCATTCAGAGCCTTTTGTTGATGTCAGGGCAGTAAATAGGGACATTGACCAAGATAGCAAAATTTTGTGCTGCTGCAGTTAAGATCTGTGAAAATAAGGTTTTAGGAAATGATTAGGTTGTTACTATTTGTGCATGCAGTTATATTTTATGTCTATATTTTATATACTTTATGACTTATATTTACATTTATATTCATATTTTATTGATGCCCATAGATGTATGTATCTCACTAATGTTAATAGGATGTATGCATTTTATGTATTCATATGAATTTGGAAATATGGTCATTTAATATGGTTATTAACTACAATAAAATGATTGATGGATTAAAAAGTAGATGAAAAATTGCATGATAGAGGATTAATTGGGATTGTCCCTGCCAAATTGGGACAGTTGGCAGGTATGTTCATAGTATGTATGTACTTTGTGGCATTGCCTTGCATTCTGTTGCTTAGTGCCAACTAGAGTAGACCCATCGAGCTGATTGTTGGATAGTGAATCAACACAACAATAAATTAATTTAATAGATCTACTTCAGTCAGGACTAAGAATAGAATTTAGGCTTACATTAAGCACCATCTCCCCAGGATTTTTTCCTCCAGTTTGGTGTGTAAAAATGCAATAAAATATATTATGTTGAGCAGCCTGCTTGGAGCATGCATATCACCTATTACGCTCAACAAATTTTTTATTGTCCACTGAAAAGCATGTGAGGGATCACCTAAGCAAGCCAGCTTTTTTATTGAACATCTTCTCTTTCTTCCTTGAATTCTCTTCATGTAAACATTCAGCTCTCTAAAAACTCTTTTGTTTTCATCTGTGCTCATTTTGTGAAGAAATTATCAAGTTAATTCCTAAGCCATCCATCATGGCTAGTATTGGGAACTATAATTCCCAGGGGGCAATGTGAAAGGTCCTTTCACACTGCACAGTTATAGCACTATGTAACCACTGTAACTGCCATGGTTGTATCCTCTGGATTCCTGGGATTTTTAGCTGGGGGGGGGGTCTTTAGAATTCTCAGCCAGAGAGTTCTAGTACTTCAGCAAACTACAAACTGCATGTTTTCATAGGCTGCAGCTTTATAGCAGTTAAAGTGAAATTATAGTACCATAATCATGTAGTATCCAAAGGTTGCAGAGCTTGGAAATGGTACTTTTTTATTACAGCTCCCCTAATGTCCCAGACAGCATAGCTGCTGGCCATATCAGCTGAGGGATTCAGAGAGATGTAGTCTTAAACAGGAACATTTCTAAGCTCTGGGAATTACAATAAGGTGTATGTGTGTGAGACCAACATTTCACATGCAACAAGTACAGGAAAGCCACTTGGAGACATATAAATGCTTCCCTACTCCCCCATGCCTACTGAGCCAGCTTGTAAAGACTTTGAATCTAGGTAAGGATTGCATAGCATTCGAAAGCATGCCATTTAGCTTGAAGTTTACCTATCCAAAGGAAGGAAGGGAGGAAAATTAACAAGGCCACCTGGGCTACACCTCACAGGTATTTCATGGAGTCTCCTACTACATCCCTGAGCAAATTTCATGTTGACATAGGACACAGCTGCTCACCTTGCTCAAAATGAGTTTATTCTTAATTTAATGAGGAAGGGTCTCTCTGATTGACAAGATGAAATAGATTGACACCTGTGCACAAGTACAAGTGTGTGTTTTGTGATAACTTTCTGAAAGGGGGAGATAATCAGTACACAGATATATAACCACATGGATCTCTTTGACCCATTCATTACTCCTCTGTTTTTTTGTCACTGCTTCCAGACAGTTGCATGGCCTGGAAATCTAGGTCAGATCCAATACATTCTGTAATTCTAAGACAAGGAAGAGATGCTTGCATTCCTCCAGATCTTTGACAGAGGCCTAAATCCAATCACCAGTCCCAACTTGACTTGCATCAATTAATTAAAGGTGAGTCAACACATATGTAAATATCATTGCTTCAATGTCTATACTTTAGCTCAGACGAGCAATTGCAGTTAGACCTGGAACTCCCACTATACTTCTGCACTGGACAGAGATGATGGTAGTGACAGTCCAGCTGCACCCAGTTCTAGTTCAAGAGTGTTTATGCCCATTCAATATCTACCATGTGTTTACCAATGGTGGAAATCATGTGGGCTTCCAGATGTTGTTGGATTGCAGTGTCCAGCATTCTACACTATTAGCTATGCTGGCTAAGGCTGTTGGGACATGCAATACAGCAACAGCTTCGTGGGGGGGGGGGGTTTACAGGACTCCCATCCCTGGTCCATATGGGTGCTCTACCTTGCCTTTCAGTTGGTGACTACCATTTCTGTTTTCTAGTCATTGCCTGGAACAATGCTACTTAATTATAATAAGTTATTGTTGCTAATACTATGTTGTTGCTATTCTGTGTTATTCTGTGTTGCATTTTGCGTGGGAAGATGAAGGCTCACAGAGTTAACTGCCATGCTGATGAAAATCACCAATGGGTTGCCATTGTTTCTCCTCAGAATGCCACTCAGAACAGAAAAGGGAAGACAGAGAAAAAGGAGGACATGAAAGTAGGACATAGAAAGGCTCGATAGGATGTTGGATCAAGATGGAAGGACATTTGTTAGTTCTGTAAGGAGAATTTAGAAAGGATTAAAGGAAAGTAGATAGAGGGGGGAAATATAAGAAGATCGGAGGAATGTTGAAGTTTAATATGGGTAATCTATAAATTCATTCTTATAACTTATAATTTTGCTAACTCATAGTTGTAGGTATGTTATATGTTAGTTTGTGTGGAAGGTGTGTTTTTGTTATTAATTGTAGTGTATAAATGTGCACTGTGTTGTTTTATTAATTTGAGCTGTTTGTAATGTTTTAATATTTATAATTTTTAAAAAATAATTAAACGAGGGGGGAAGAATGCCACTCAGAACAATGAAACCTCACAATGCATTATTCCAGGGTAATGTTTGGAAATAAAAAGCTCCATCAGCCTGAGCAGATGGGAGGACTTTATGTCTGGCAAATCCCACCTGACAATTGACTCCTCGCCCTGCCTCAATCTCCTGCCCCAAC